ATAAAGAAACGGCAGGCTATTCAGAATAAAGCTAAATTCTGGGCTTTGCAGTATTCATACAGATAAAATGTAAAAACTATGCATGTCAGCCCGGGCATGTTAACAGTGACAGAGATGCACCTATACTATAAGTTTAACTAGAAACAAACTTTGTTGAATTTAACTAGAATGGTTATTTTTTTCTAATCTGTTCAACACAATTATGAAACAAGATTTACATCAGACATTTATGGTGCCTGAAGTGAAATCCAATATTATAAAAAAATCAGTAGAGTAGAGAGCCATTGTCAGGGGGATGTCAAGAAAATGGTAAAGGCCAGTTTAAATAGTTGTTAAAACAATATTTTTTTTAGCTTAGGGGAATTTAAATTTTAATTGCATGTATGGACCTAGTGGCAACTGATGCACGTAGACGCAAAAAAGGAAAAAAGTATGTGAAATTTGTTCTTATAACTTTTTCTTGGAATTGGGATGTATGTGAAAATAGGACAGATAAAGCTGTGCATGCACTATGTACATTATGGATATGTTACTATGGAAAGGAGTTTTTAAATGAACTTTGAATCTGTTATAAATTGCAAAAGACATTGTGTTTGTTTTTGTAATATTTAGCTTAATGTCATGTTAAAGCTTAGTTCTCTTCTGTACGAACTGATGTTAAATGTGTGGTTAATTGTTTTTTATGGATTTTACTGACAATTATGAAAATATAGAATACTGCCAGCTGAGTGGACATTGATAAATGTGCTGAATTTTTTTTAGAGAGGTGAAGCCATCATCCCTTGCTAGTTTAATTTACTGAAGTGTTCTCAATCACATACAGTGGTGAAGATAAAGAGGAAAAGATGCTTTACTCAAAAGGAAAAGCAAATAAATAGAAAAACAGGCATCAGGCAATCAGACCAAGGTAACCACTAATATAGAGTGCATATTTAAATATGTATGTCTGTTCATTAGTCTGACACTGATGTGATCCAGTAGGGCAGGCGTGTATACAAAGCCTTGACCCCCGAGCCTATGGTGAGCCCTGGCACAAGGTCAACTGCCTCTCACTGTAACAGAGAAGCATTTACAGATCCTCCACATACACCAAGTCAGCCTAGAGCTGCGCGCCTGGCTTCATGTGCTGAGTAAGTACTGAGAGAGAACAGAGGAAAGAGGCCGAGGCGGGAACCCTTCCAAAAGGACGCAGAGTTCTCTGATCACCGCAGGACGCAGCGTCATCTTTTCTCTATCTGTCTCTCAGGTAATGACAGAGATTAAGTGATGCTAGCAAGATATGAGGATATCTGTATTGTAACTGTCTGTGCGGGGTCTGCACACAGAAACATTACGGAATCATGCCAGACAGCAGAAGAGAGACAGCCTCTCTGGAGCAGCCATCTTCTGCATCTTCTGTGTCGATTCTTTAGGCTTATTTCTCTGGTATTTTTTCTTAAAAGGTTATATAAATATGCTGATGATTCAGAAAAAACAGTATCCTCTTTCAGTCCATTTTCATTTCAAGCTCAGGTGTCATTCTAGGAAGAGGACCTCTGTCCATGGCTTTCTGATAGGCAGCAGACCATTAACTGTGTTCTTTTAAAATTGGGAACTTAAAAATATTGAACTTTTAACATTCACATTAGAGTCAGCTATGGGTTACACAATGTCCCTGTGGCCTAGTTGTAGCATACGCATCACCAATCACACCACAGGACCTCTGCTGCATGTTGTACCATCTCCCCTTCCACATCCTTCCTGTCTGTATGTCTGCAATATCGCTGTAAGATATCCAGTAAAGACCAAATACCAACAAAAACAAATAAGTGAAAATAAAAGAACTAGCTCATGGGTCACACTGCACTTAGACATGCTCAGCCATGCCTTTGTTATTACCAAACCACTGACCATCTGGGATAGGTAAAAACATGTTGCCATTTGTCTTAAAACAAAATCAATGTTCTGTTCACTGTAGCAACTACAGTGTAGCTGCCAAATGAAATTACTCTAAAAATAAATATTTAATTTCATGAAGAAAGGCTCATGATGGTGAAAGGATTTTAAATATACAGGTGTGATACATTCCTTTTAATTTTAATTTATTGAATGTATGTCATCTGTGTGTGTTATTGTGCTGTTTTATTTTTTGCACTGATCTTATTTATTATGCTTTAGTTATTTATTGTAATTTTATTCTGCCATGTAAACTATTTTGGTCAACTGGATGTTTTTAAAGTGCTATATAAATAAATTTGATTTGATGTGAAATATGGTTAGAAAACCACGTGCACTGTGCAAATACTCACATATGTGCACCAAGTGTCCTCAACTACAGTAAAACATGTTGCGTTTTACTATTTGAAGCCAACTCTTAACTGATAATCTATTGAGGCATTTTTATTTTATTTTACCATTGTTGGAGAAAATGAGATACACTCAGATGTTGGCAACAGCTCAAGTTTGATTTTTATACATAAAAATGCAATAATATTACTAATATCACTTTACTTCTATTTATAATAACCTTCAATGCAATTTGTTTACCAGTCAACATCAAACTGAACATATTGCTTTCAAGAGTGGAGAACCACACTAGTATACATACATACTGTATATGTTGCATCACAAATCACAAGCCACTTATTGAGGACTCACTGTTTGGGTTGTATACTGTTATAGACTATATGTTTATCTGGCACAGTTTAACAAACAACACTCCAAGTAACAATTTCCATTCATGATTAATCTGCCAACTATTTTTTCGATTACATGATAAATTGTTTGCTCTATAAAATGTAAGAAGTCAGTGATAAATGTCCATCACAATCGCATGAAGCCTGAGTTCCAGCTTCATATTGTTTTTATCCGGCTATCGGTCAAAAACCTAAAGATATTCAGAAAGATGAGCAGCAAACACTTACGTTTGAAAAACTGGAACAAGGGGATGCCTGAATCTTAGCTTTTAACATTAGTTAGTTCAAGTAATAAAATGAGTAAAGCTTCTTTTAAGCTATATATGTTACCTGTATTTTGAGCTTACGGTAACTTACAGTGAAACAGTGAAAAAATTGAAATATGGAGTCCAAACCTGTATCTGTTGAACAACATTAAATCTTTTACAGTTCCACAGAGAAGTTCTGTCCTTGTAAAAGTAGCATCTCAGGGATTTCTACCATTAATAAAAAGACTACAGTGGACTGTTCAACTGGCAGGGTTTGAATAAACATGATATCCTGCACTACTAAGTCACAAGATGTAACAGTGATGAGAACACAAATGAATATGGCTACACAAATTCTGTGACTAAACCTGGGAACTGTATATAAAACATCCCCCACTAAAAGCACAAACCCATCTGCACACACCGAGTGGTATGCAGCACAGTCCTATCACAAGTCTTTCAGTTCTTTTGCATCGTGACTGAACAAAACTGAGTTTCTGCTCAATCAGTGGGAGGGTCTAGACTACAACATGGTGAACGACAAAATATTTTTCACACATGGACATCCAAGATGGCTCATTAGGTAATATACAGTAGCAGGGCTCGTCTTCAAGGGCCATGGTAATAATTAGTTACACTGCTATCTTATTAATATTTCATAATACTGTATATACTAGAAAAGCTAAACTATGCAGTCTAATGAATCAGTGCAATCTTAATGTACTCAAACTAATTAAAACTAAAAAATGTTAAAAACCTCTCATGAAATTATCAGAGGTGTAAATACATTTTAGCAAGGCTGAGGATAAAGGCTGATAAATGTCATCAATGCTGAAATTAAACTACAGGCTAATACTACAGAAACAGATCACATCAAGATCACTGTGTTTAGGAAGCATAGCCACCAAGTAAAAATAATCAAACACACTTTACACAATAAGTCATCATGCAGTGATTTTTCCTGGGTGAAGCTTTCGACCAGTAACATGACAGAAAATGAGTGATGATTTATAATGATTAAGATATGTAGAAAAAGGAAGTGTAAGATGCCAGCTGCAAAACCGTTTCTGCCTGACATTTTGCTCATGTCAATATGATGCTTGGAGGCTGAACTCTAAAGAGCACTTCCTGGTTTAACCACATCGCGTTGTTTTCCCGAGGTCCTGTCACATCATTGCACATTTAGAGTGCATACATACATACAGTGAGCAGTTCTGTGTAAATAGTTTCAGAGCTTACTTATCAAAACACCAAAGGATGTTGCAGATACATTTTAATTTTATGTTATAAGCAAAAATGATGGTTTATGTAAACTTTACTTGACCAAGTGCTAAATTCACTTCCATCTTGTGTTCTCTACATGTCCTCATCAGCAGCAGCTTGACATGTGACTGAGCTGAAAATCACATTTTTCTGGAGAACCACAGTAATATATTTAATGCAGTGTTCCATTTCCGAAACGAAGTTTCACTGACTAATTTACACCTCAAAAGCTCACCTGAGCATCACTAAGGCAGAGAGCATGGAGAACATTCTCTGTGGATGGGATGTTGCTCCGTCAGGGTAGCAAAGCATGATGGGAATGTGGAGCAAAAAACCAAACCTGAATGTTTTTTATGAATTGACCTGACCTCATATTAGCTGTGTATTTCTAACAGATACCATTTGCAAATAAAGGAATGTGCATTTCCTGTATGTTAGACATTCACTGCCGCAATTCTACATGTCCTCAGTGTGATTCACTGTAACCTCCACACCTGAGCAGGGAAATTCAAATAGACTGTTCTCAATGCAAAAAGACCAAATAACCACAGGGATTACACCACCTGTGAACCTGAAAACACCACAGTCTCTACAGTGATATAACCCTGAGAGTGTAATTCAGGATGTCCCCAAACCAGGGGATGAAATATAGTAAGTAATGACATCTCTCCTCTTACATCTATCCCATTTTACTGGCACCACACCCTCCATCAACACCGTTTCTTACTCATGTGTTCTCTTTGGCATGGTACCCTCGCCCCAGCTCACCTGTTCTGCCCATCTATCTGTCTATTCTCTTGTCACCTCCACTCACCTGTTCTATCTTGGCCAGCCATTCTTTATTGCGGGCCAGTTCTGCCATAAAGGCCTGGTGCTTCAGCCACTTCCTGTGTAGTTTTTGAGCCTCGTCCCGCGCTGTGTCTCGGGCCATAAGCATCTTCTCTTCCACCCGCTGTCCCAATCGCTCAGCTAGGAGAGATAAAAATAGCTACCATCAGGAGCCCAACACTCGAGCCAGCTCTTCTTCCCTCCTTTCCCACAGGATGTCCTGCCTGCCTCCCCTACACAAGAGCCACCCGCTCTGCTCTGCAGGAGCCTGGGTTCCTGTGCTGTCACCACCCACCCAAACCTTCACCAGACACCCTGTTCTCTTCTGGAGAAATAAAATCAAGATAAGCACCTCAGCAGCAGTGGTAGCAATGGAAGCACTCAAGCCCGTCCTTTGGGTCGCCACTGGGTCCTCATGCCCTACCCCTTCACTGGGTCTTGTGGTCCTGATGCTGCAGTGCCTGCTAGCCAGTCTCAGAAAAGGCTAAAACAACCAGTGAAATAGAGGAAATGCGCCAATGACAACACTGGTAGAAAATGACACACACATCCAAGATTCCTTGCAGGTTGTGGGCTATCTTCTAAATCCAAATGTCGATTAGAATCCAGCCGTCACCGGTGGTGGAGGTGTAGCATATCCACAGAAGAATCTTTCACCCAGGGCAAAACCTGACCATCCACCACTCACCAGTCCCGGTCGATTTGTAGTCCTGTTTAACGATGCTGTAGACAGGAGGAGGAGGAAGAGTTGGAGTGGGAGGAGCAGGGTGAATTGGATGCAGAGACAGTGCAGAGGAGGCCGGATAACATAAGCTATCTGCTCTTGAAATACATTGTTCCATCCACTGAAAACATGCACCCTCTGGCTGGTGTGAGATAGTATGCTATTTTCTCTCCTGTGTTCCCCTTCCTTGTGTCCCTGAACAGCTCAGCCACGGTTGGTGCATGCTGCTGCAGTCCTTGCCTCTCAACTACGCTCCTATTTGTGTATATGTGTGCTTGTGTGAGTGTGCAATCACAATCAGCACTGCAGTGCTGGAGAAGAGAGAGAGAGAGAGAGAGAGAGAAAGCAAGAAGGAGGGGAGTGAAGGGGGAAATGGCAAGAAGAGAGGCTAGAGGGAGACAGGGAGAGCAAATAGAGAAAGAGTGAGTGCCGGAGTAAAAAAGAAGGGGAGAGCAAGTCAAAAGAGGAAGAAGATCATGTTGGTGGGGGGCTAGTGAAACAGAGAAAGAAAAAGAGCCTGCGTCATCCCTCAGTGTCACAAGGGACGTTTCTCTGCACTAGGAATGACTGCACTTGGAGCAGAATTTGGAAGGAGGGTGAGGGATCTTTTTAAAACAGCTGACTGGAATCACTATTCACTCAGCCTCTTTAAGGGGACCTGTATGTGATTGTCTTGCTGCAAATATGTAGTTTGGGCACCGAGGGTGCAGATAAACAAGACCATTTTAAGTTAACAAAACAATTGGTTTTGAGTTCTAATTTTTTTCTTTTGCTACAGCAGCAAAAGTAGTTTGTATTTATACTGTTTTTTTTAATATTAATTTTTATCAAACTGGTTCATCCAGAGGGGATTCATGTTTTCAGTTGAAAACTATCCCACCAAGTTTGTTGTTCATGCTTTGTGTGTATACGAGAATTTAATAGACTTTCTACATTTTCTTGAACCAACAAATCAATTTTTGGTTTATATTTGAAACCGGAACATTACTATACATTGTGTCAGTGTAACTGTTATTTCTTACTGGAGGAATAGGACCCAATGTGCAGAACACACAAGCCAGGGAAACTTTCAAAGAAAATTTTAATAATCAACACAGCACAAGAAACTAAAAGAAAAGATACACGGGCTCAACCTCAGTGACAGAACAAAGAACGCCAAAGTTTATCTAAACAGTTTGGTCACGGAGCGAGGTAAAAGAACTAAAACCAAACCAGACAAAATAACCAAGGATTTACTGACAGATAAATCCCAAAACACAAAGGAACAAACCCAAAGAAGCCATGACAGGAAACCAGTTGTAGTGTCTGACAGACGTGAGTAAAGACACCGGGTATATTCCGAACAGTCTATTTAATTGAACACTTTTACACAGCAGCAGTACAACACTTGTGTGTTCAGTAACGCCATCTTGGAACTCCTCTTCGCACATCTTTTATTAACACTTGTACAGCGGCCTCTCTGGCGGTACACTATAGAAGTAAGTATCAGGACACAACATATCCTCTCTCTGTAAACTAAATTCTCCCATGAGTACGAAGTAACAGTAACAATATTCCTTCTGTAATAAAGTAAGTAGTAGTTAGAATAACAACGGCAATAGCATGCATTAACCACATATAACAGTATCAAAATAACAACTGTATCCAAATGTACATAAGGATAATTTTCTTTCTATTCTTT